AACCAGGTGGAGGGGAGCTATGGGGGGAAAAAGAGGAACAACTGTAATAATCTGAAAAATAAAGATTAGAAAAAAACTGGCAAGAGATTTGAACAGACATTTCACCAAAGACATGTGAATGACAAGTATACAATGAAAAAATGCTCAACATTATGTCTTAAAATAGGCAAATTAAAACCACAATGAGATACAGCTTCATACCTACTAAAATGGTAAAATTTTAAAAAGCTGACCATACCAAGTAATGACAAGAATGTGAAAGAACTATAACTCTTAGACACAGCTGGTGGGAACGTAAAATGGTATAGCCACTTTGAAAAACAGTTTAGCAGTTGTTTAAATTGTTAAACATACACTTACCATGACTGCTCAGTCATTCCACTCCCAAGAGAAATAAGCATATGTCCACACAAAAGCTTGCACAGAAATATTCATAACAGCTTTATTGGGAGAGCGGTGGGGTGGGCGCCAGGGCACCATGAGGACACTTGGAGCTGAGGTAAGTACAGTCTCTTAATCGCAAAGATGATTGATTTGGTGCATGTGTCAACGCCGATCGCATCGTACTCTTAAAGTGTGTGCAGCTTATTGCATGTCAAGTATATCTTGGTAAAGCTTTTGAAGATATTAATGGGCTCCACATTTTAGGGATTCTGGCACAACTATTGTTTTCCATCTTCAGATACTAATTATACTTTGGTAAAAGTACTTTAGAACTTTATTTTTAAAGTAGCAGGAAGGAAACTAAAAGTTATCAACATTGCTCATTAAAAAACTATGTTGTATACTTTAAGAAAAAGTACAAGTAAAAATGAAGAATTCTCAGTCAGTAACTAAAACCAAACCTGACATCATTCTCACCCACAAATGGAACCCTCACCGCCCGTCCCCGGGAGGGTGCCGTCTGCCTGTGCCCTTCGGGGCCCAGGAGCGGGACCCTCGGGCTCTGAGAGCTGCACCACCGTCTCCAGTTGTTCTCCAAGCTCCTCTATCAGAGGCCCGGCTCCCACAGGGGCCCGCGCAGAGGCCAGTAGCTCTCCCCGACAGGCATCAGCCCTCGGGACGGCCAAGCGTCCGCACAGCCCATGGCCATCAACACGCAGGGCGCGGCTTTCGTCAAGAACGGGGCCTTGCAAGGACCGTCCTCTCCCGGTTCCCCTGCCTGCGAGCCCCTCTGGCTCTGAGTCTGGGTCTGCGGTCCCGGCTGAGGAGGTGCTGCTGTCGGAGTCCTCGGAGCCACTGGCCTCAGAACTGGAGGGTGGTGTTGGCCTGGAGGCGGGGCAGGCTGCTTCTTCCTCACAGACGAGCAGTGCAGCTGCCTCCAGCTCATTCACTTCCAACCCCAGCTGGGCCTTCGTCAGGGGGGCTTTCTTCAAGGCTTCTGCAAGAGCTGCCAACCTTGTGGACCTTGGAAACCATGGAAGAAGAAATAGTCAGCTATTCATTACCTGGCCTGTGGGCACAGGGAGCCGTGCTTAAAGCAATGACGCCCTAGAGCTGATGCACCCTTCCCATGATACCAGGACACGCGCCCAGCAGATCAAAGCCCTCACTGATACGGAGCCGGTCACGCATGACCCGGGAGCCCGCGAGCCTTCCTTTATGATCTCAGGATGAGGAAGGGCCTTGTAGCCAAGACTCAAAATCCAGAAGCCACAAAAGCAAAGCAAAAATGGGCAACTTCAACTAACAGAGACCAGCAACTTCTGTAGCAAAACACTAAAGCCATCGCCACTGAAGTCCAAGGCTATGTGCAAACTGAGAGAAGTACCCGCAGCTCCTATCACAGCACAGGCCCCATGTCCATAACCCACCAGTGACATGGATAAAAGATGTCAGCAGGCAACTCTCACCGAAGGAAACACAAATCCTTTTGAATATATAAAAAGGTATTTAACTTCAGTCAAATAAGCGAAATACAAATTGAAGTCACACAGACAGTGTTTTCACTTATCAAATTGCAAAAATCCAAGCATTTGATAACCTTGCCCAGGCTGTGGGGGAAGGTGCCACCATTCGCTGGTGGTAAGAGAGGAAGCAGGCACAGCCCCAAAGCAACAGCTTTCAAAATGGGAAATGTCCACACTCCTGACCCAGCAAAACCGTTTTGGAAATTAAACACATGTGCTACACAACACAGGCCCGAGGTTTTTACTGCACCATTGCGTTTAGTGCCTCAACTGGGAAACAACCAAATGTCCATGAATCCGGGACCAGTAACTAATCCTGGCACATCCATACCAAGGATGTAAGTCTATAGCTGCATAAAAAATAAAGCATTCCATGGGCTAACCAAGACCCATTGTTTATTTTTAAGTCTTTGTGAACATAATACCTATTCAAAAGTTTCAAATGTACAACAAAGAAAAAAAGCAATATTAGAGAGTAGCATAGACTGCTTTTTTTTTTATAAAAAAAGTTTCATGATATTTCAGAAAATATTTTTCTAAATCTGTCACATTCTGTTATACTGAGTAAATAAACTTTTCATTAACTTGGAAGTACTGAGTTTTTTGTTTTTGCAAGAAGCAACACAAAGCATAATGCAGTTCTCCAAACATGGTCTTCATTGCTCTACAGAGGAATCTGATGTGACTACTGTGCAAAGGGGCAGCAAGTGAAGAGGTCATGACTCCGCTTCCCTAACTTCAAAGGTTAAATAAGTGTAGTCTGTCCCATATTTTGAGCATGAGGCTTCATTTCTTTTTTTTTCTTTAAAATATATTTTATTGATTTTTTACAGAGAGGAAGGGAGAGGAATAGAGAGTTAGAAACATCCATGAGAGAGAAACATGGATCAGCTGCCTCCTGCACACCCCCTACTGGGGCTGTGCCTGCAACCAAGGTACATGTCCTTGACCAGAATCGAACCTGGGACCCTTGAGTCCACAGGCTGACGCTCTATCCACTAAGCCAAACCGGTTAGGGCGAGGTTTCATTTCAATAGAGCTGAAGAGAATGGAACCTGCAGGGGGAGCCACTGAACAAGGTGGTAATTTTCATCTAAGCGCCAACATATATTTGAGACACTTTTGTTTCAAAATATTTAGCGTAATAATGAGTTTGTGCAGCATAGCTTCCCCTGCCCTGCCTCTCCAGTGTAACCACAAACAGAAGCTCCACTACAAGGTGTTTGTGTCCCGGGGAGGGGGGGGTACAGTGGGGAGGACGGGATAAGGGCAATAGCCATCACTGATGGGCAACTCCCTCCTACGTGGGGACAACCCTGTTTCAGTGCTGGACTTTCCAGAGCTGAGGAAAGGGACGGTGCCCAGGGTAAAGCGGAGACGAGGTGAGATCAGCAGAGTCAGTAACTAATTCCCCAAAGGGCTAGAAGCCTGGCATGAAGTCTGGCCAGTGGAGGCAGCTTCAAGCATACTGATGGAGTAGGACGGCTGTAATATAATGTGCATCCATGTTCAGGATAGTTGTTGTTGATGTCCACCATACGTGTACACTGAAACTTCACTTCCAGTGGTGAAGGGCTCAGCCTGAGCATGAGCCGGGACATCTCTCCCCCGAGGCCCTATCAGCCTGAGAACCGGCCACAGCCTCTCTCTTGCTGAGGGAGGTCCTGTCCGCACGACACAGCTTTACAAAATAAAGAGCAATGACCTTGGGAAAGAAAACTATGTCTCTTATTAAGCTGCGATATTAGAAATAAATATTTTCAAATAAATGCTTTTCTTCAGTAAATGTGAGACTATACATCTCCCATTTTTAATAGTCACGACAAATACTTTCCACAATACATGAAGGATGATGTTTCACAAACATCACTGCACAGCCCCACGAAGAAGTTTCAGTTTTATTCCCACACTAGTGGCCCGGTGCACGGATTCATGCACATTGAAAATAAAATAATTATGGCCCAGCTCCCAGGTGCTGAGGTGACCCCCACCGCTGCCGCTGGTTGCCATCTGTAGGGCAATTGGTTGGGGCCAGGCCACCCACCTGGCTCCCTCAGCAACTGGGAGCTGGCCCCGCTCCCCCATGCTGGTCACCAATTGCCCCGCAGATCAGCCACCACTCGCACCCACCTTAGCTTGGCACCACCCACTCACCTGCTCCACCATCCCATCACAGTCCCACTGTCATGGGGGCCCATTGGAGCCGACAGCGCCTTCACTGCTGCCCGCTGCCAGCGCCGGGTCACCGACGCCCACCATGTCCTGGGCCACTCTCTGGTGGTCAGCGCACGTCATAGTGAGCAGTCGAACGACCGCCCGAGGGGGCAATTTGAACATCAGGCTTTTATTATATAGGACTACAGATGATACAGAAGCTGAGGGTCTGAGTCCTGCTGGCCTTCCCAGCCACAAGGGTGCAGGGCCAAAGGCTGTGCAGTGCTCCTCCCGCCCCCGTGGGTGTCCAGGCCTGAAGAGTTTCACCTCTGAGGACCTCCTTCCTTCCTCCCTTCCCAATTGGAGCTCGATTCCACATCCCCAAATAAGCCAATTCGGACTGGCACAGCCCAGAATTCTCCAAAGAAGCTATGACTGATACCCCTCACTGAGCAATCTCAGAGTTCATTCCAAGTCTGCCACTCCTTGAAGTATTTACACCTAAGCTTTAACTACAGAGGTTTAGAATAAGAGAAAAGAAATGAATTATTTTGGTGGATATTAGTAAACACTACAGTAGATAAGTCAATTCAAGTTGAAACTATTTTGATCCTTGTTATTATCTATTATAAAAAAGTTTTATCTGTCATTTACAACAGTATACATTTGGAATTTCAAAGTCCCTCACCTGTAATCCTGGCTCTTTTCAACAAGCATACCCCTCACATGTTGGGATTAAAAAGAGTCAACTCGTCCCAGCCAGTTTGGCTCAGTGATTGGAGCACTGGCCTGTGGACTGAAGGGTCCCAGGTTTGATTACAGTCAAGGGCATGTACCTCAGTTGCAGGCTCAATCCCTGGCCAGGGCATGCGCAGGAGGCAACCAATCCACGTGTCTCTTTCACATGGATGTTTTTGTCTCTCCTCCTCCCTTCCTCTCTCACTAAAACTCAATGGAGGAAATATCATCGCATGAGGATTAGCAACAACAACAAAATAAAATAAAAAGGGTCAAGTCTAACAGGCTGAGCAGTGAAGAGGAGGAGCCCTGAACCAGTTGGAATTCTGTCTATCACCAGCTGATTGAATTTTTATCCTTCAGAAAAAGGTCTGTTTCTCACTATTCACACTACATTATGTTTAAAGTGACCTATTTACATAAGATATGTAAAAATAACTTATATGCTCTCTTCTGATTCTTCACCAAGCTGATTCATCTCTATTTCTTATTATTCTCCTCTTACTGCTTGAAGCTGGCTAGTTTCCTAAATTAATATTAAGGTTCTCATTGAAACAGTTTATAGAAAAAGCATTCTAAACCCTCTCCCTAAAGAATGCTAGGATAAAAAGTGATTAAAAATGTCAAATATCATTGGTGTAGACTGTGTCCTAATAGTCTGAAGAATGAAAGTTGGGTTTGTTTCTATTCAATTATTTTCCACTGATAACTTAGCAATCACTGTTTGCTAAAAAATAAAAATAAGTTAAGCCATGTCCTTCCACCAGGCCCTGGCTTGGGGTGCCGTCCTTCCCATGGCGGGACACCTGGCTTCCAACTTTGCCTTCTCATCCCCACCAGGTGGTGGAGGCAATGGGCCAGGAGGGCCGGAGCTGGGCTGGGTTGACCCTCAGACCTGGCTGGGCTTCCAGGCCCTCCCGTCGGGTCTGCCATTGGGCTGGGGCTTGCCCCCAGGGCCGAGGTGTGGGGGATTCCCCCATGCCCCCCCAATATGAGGTCTGCAGGGGGATGGCCCACTGTGCACCTCAGGCTGGAGTGGGGCTGGCACCCCAAGGTGGCCTGGAGACCCCCCAGCTTGAGGGCAAGGCAGGAGCCAGGGTGGACAGCAACTCCGAGGGGGCCTCCCCCGAGCCCTGCGCTGCCCTGCCTGGGGCCCTGAAGCTGGACAAGGAGAAGCTGGAGCTCAACCCCAAGGAGGAGAGCATGAGAGCTCTGCAGAAAGACCTCGAGCAATTCGCCAAGCTCCTGAAGCAGAAGAGGATCACTCTGGGGTACACCCAGGCCGATGTGGGGCTTACCCTGGGCATTCTCTTTGGCAAGGTGTTCAGCCAAACGACCATCTGTGCTTTGAGGCTCTGCAGCTCAGTTTGAAGAACTGCAGAAGTGGGTGAAGGGAGCTGACAACAACGAGAACCTGCAGGAGATATGCAAACCAGAGACCCTGCTGCAGGCCGGAAAGAGAAAGCGGACGAGTATGGAGACCCGAGCGAAGGGCAACCTGGAGAACATGTTCCTGCAGTGCCCGAAGCCCGCCCTGCAGCAGATCAGCCGCATCGCCCAGCAGCTCGGGCTGGCGAAGGACGTGGTCCGAGTGTGGTTCTGCAA